CAGGTCGCTGTTCCAAGAGCTTCTTTACCAGCTATTTCTGATGTGGCTTGAACTCCCTTCTGTGCTGCTGGTATCTCCTTTGCAGTCATGGTGTAGTGAGCCTCAGATTCTCTGTACCCCTGGCTCCAGGTTGACCTCAAGTTTCTCCAGGTGCTTTCTGCCAGAGGCTTTGTGGTGGAGAGCACATTTATCCCATGTGATCCTGTCTGTACTGCCCCAAGGGCAACCGCATTGCCAATTTCCTCTTTGATCCCTTCAAAGGCTTGTTGCTCCTCAGGGCCCCAGTCAAAATAGTTCTTTTGGGTCACTTCATAGAGGGGATTTAGGAGTTGACTGTAACCTGGAGTATGCATTCTTCAGAATTCCACAGTGCCTGGGGATTGCAGTATCATGGAATGGTTTGTGTTGGAAGGGACCTTAAAGCTCATTCAGTCCCAACCCCCTGCCATGGGCAGCGACACCTTTCACTAGACCAGGTTGTTCCAAGCCCCTGTGTCCAGCCTGGCTTTGAGCACTGCAAGGGATGGGGCAGCCACAGCTTCTCTGGGCACTGCCCTCATGGTAAAGAATTTTTTCTTCATAGCTAATCTAAAGCCATTCCCCTTGTCCTGTCCCTACAGGCCCTTGTCCCAAGCCCCTCTCCAGGTTTCCTGCAGCCCCTTTAGGCACTGGAGCTGCTCTGAGGTCTCCCCTTCAGGAGCCTTCTCTTCTCCAGGCTGACCCAGCCCAGCTCTCTCAGCCTGGCTCCAGAGCAGAGCTGCTCCAGCCCTTGCAGCATCTCTGTGGCCTCCTCTGCACTTGCTCCGAGAGCTCCATGTCCCTCTTGTCTTCTTGTCCCAGAGCTGGACACAGCCTGGGTCAGACCTTTCCTAACTGATGCTTCTTTGCTAGCTAGTCTCACTACCCTGTTGCCTTTGGTAGACTTGTGGATACCGTTGTTTTGCTGTGTCTGTGGATAACTCCTGTAAATTTACTCAGAGCCAGCTTGGAATAACAAGGCTGCCCAAGTAAAGCATCAGTCCCTGAGTAGTGGCTTGTGACAGCCCAGATTGCTTGGGCCTGATTCAGTGTCCTTTAAGTCTGTGAGAACTGCGAGCTTCGGTGGGTGTTACCTGGGCCTGTGCTGTTATTTTTGCTCTTGTACATGTCTGCTAAATCACACTTAAAAGGAGCAAAATTGCTGTTGCTCCCGCCTGTATCGTGCAAGAAAAGCCTTGTTGCCAAGGAAAAGTTATGCAATTATGAATGAGATAGAGAGTACCTCATTCTTCCTTAAAGATCTGGGTAGTGCAAAGGAATGGAAAGAATTTAGAGACAAATCATGGCCGTGGACACAATATTTGTGTAAAACACCCAGTACCATTTGCTTGGGAATTTGTGCAATTCTGACTTACTTGTCCTCCTTAGTGACCTGGAAAAGGGAGGAGACTTTTCAGAATGAAGGGCTGCTGCTTGTGTGAGAAGAACAAAAGGGCTCTGTGCAGCTCCTGTTAGTTGGAGCTGTGATTGATAGCTGTGGTTTTAGGGAACCATTTTCCAGGTGAGATGATGTGTGTTTGGTAAACCAAAGGCACCAGCCACAGCCAACTGAGGTGGCTGAGCCACCTTCTTTGGGCTCAAGGTAGTTCAGAGGATAGTGGAAGAGGTGTAAGGTAATTGCACTACCTCATGTTGTCGGTGGTTAATGTCCCCCCCACACAGATTGTAGCCTGTGAGGTGGTAACTTGCTACAGCTTGACATCAGCAAAGCACCTGAAGCTTGAAGAGGGGAAAAATAAAGGAGGTTTGCTGAATAGTGGTTTTCTGGCTAATATAGGTGGGTTTCTTCAAAACCTCCTCCTCCTGTGACCCAGAAAGACATTTTCAAAGCTGTTCTTCTCCGTACTCAGGTTTTATTTTGTCATTATGGGCCTTGCTGCCCCTGAGCCTGTGTGGTTTGGTTGATAAGGCGATCCTGCCCCTCTGCTCTCGTGAGACCTCACCTGGAGCATTGTGTGCAGTTCTGGTGTCCTCAGCATAAAAAGGACATGGAACTGTTGGAACAAGTCCAGAGGAGGCCACGAGGATGATCAGGGGCTGGAGCACCTCCTGTATGAAGACAGGCTGAGAAAGTTGGGGCTGTTCAGCCTGGAGAAGAGAAGGCTGCGTGGAGACCTCATAGCAGCCTTCCAGTATCTGAAGGGGGCCTATAGGGATGCTGGGGAGGGACTCTTCATTAGGGACTGTAGTGATAGGACAAGGGGTAACGGGCTCAAACTTAAACAGGGGAAGTTTAGATTGGATATAAGGAGGAAATTCTTTACTGTGAGGGTGGTGAGGCACTGGAATGGGTTGCCCAGGGAGGTTGTGAATGCTCCATCCCTGGCAGTGTTCAAGGCCAGGTTGGACAGAGCCTTGGGTGCCCTGGTTTAGTGTGAGGTGTCCCTGCCCATGGCAGACGGGTTGGAACTGGATGATCTTAAGGTCCTCTCCAACCCTAACTGTTCTGTGATTCCATGATAAGGCTGTCTTTTCTGTTTGGCTTATTCAGGCTTTCCCACAAGCATGCTGCTGCTGTTTGCTCAGTGGCAGACACTGCTTTCGGTGGCTGTATCAGTTGATAGATACAATGCAGTGTCAGCTCTTGGGCTGGATCTGGTTTAGGGGACTGTGCTGGGACTGCAGGCACTAACAAAGCTGCACTGCTGTGAGTTGGCTCCTGCCAAGGGCAGTGTGTGGTTTCAGTGTGTGCAGTCCCACAGGCTTAATTGGCATGGATTAGACAACAAGATGCTTTTCTCACATAAATATTTGTTAGCAGCTGGTCAAAAAGCCCGTGTCCTGTTACTCCATTCATCCATCAGGGAGAGCTTTGTCAAAGCAAATGTGATGGTTTCAAAGATCGGGAGAGGTTCAGGTGAAGCTGTGGCGGAAGGGAAGGCCACCAAGCACTGGTCTCCTGTCTGCTTTGGGTGCTCAGGGTTGGCTTTGTGATGGTGGCTCAGTTTGCATCTGATTTAAAGCTGCTTTTTAAGAGGAATTAAGATACATACATTTATTTGAAAGCCGCCCTTGCAACCCGTGTTTCTGGGTTGTGTTGCTTCTCTGGGGAAGGCCATAGGGAATGTGTCTGCTGTTATGGGCTCTATTTGCTTGACACATGAGCAACAGCCTCTGTTGTTAGCATCCATCCAAGGACTGCTCAGGCAAGCCTGTTGTCTTTGAATCTTCTTTCCTCATGCAGGATCCACCCAGCCACAAGCAATAAGCCATAAGGCTGGAAAGAGCAAACAAAAAGAGAGGGACCTTTTGTGATTTTTAGTCTTTTGCTGCCAGTTGGCTGCACAACTTGAAACTCCTCGGACAGGGCTTTTTCTTCACTTCAGATCCATTCAAATGCGTTACTCTTTTAATCGCGGTGGGGATGTCTGTGAAGAGCTTGCATGGCCACAGTGACAGCCCAGGGAATGGGGAACCGGTCTCCTCCTGGAGCATCAGATGCAGGAATACTCCTGCTAACCCCTGGTGTTCCCTACAGGGACACAGCTCCTGGGTGAAGCTGGGCTGCAGGGTTTCGGGCAGTGCTGGGGCCTGCGCAGGGAAGGTCTCGTTCCCAGTCTCCAGTGCAGCACGGACAGAAGGCAACAGGCTCAGGCAGCGGGCAAAGCTGAGCCAGGTGGGTGTGTGGAGGGCAACGGATGAGCTCCGTGCGGGTGCATGGGGGGAGGCATTGGTGCCGGCGGCCATTGTTGAGAGGTGGGGCCGCAGCACAGAGCAGGACGGGGCCCGCAGGCACTGGGAGTGCTGCCATGGAAATGTGTCTGCATGAGGGCAAAGGTGCCAGGGAGGAATGAGGAGGTAGAGGAAGGTGAGGAATGGTGCCGTGATCCCTGAGGTCAGTGGAGATGGCGGGAAGAGGTGCGGGAGCAGGGGGATGCTCCCTGATGGGAATGGCGGCCTGTGGAGGCCCACAGGATGAGGTTCTCCTGACGGGAATGGTGTGTGGAGCTCCCACAGGATGAGGTTCTCCTGACGGGAATGGTGTGTGGAGCTCCCACAGGATGAGGTTCTACTGACGGGAATGGTGTGTGGAGGCCCACAGGATGAGGTTCTACTGACGGGAATGGTGTGTGGAGATCCCACAGGATGAGGTTCTACTGACGGGAATGGTGTGTGGAGATCCCACAGGATGAGGTTCTCCTGACAGGAACGGTGTGTGGAGATCCCACAGGATGAGGTTCTCCTGACGGGAATGGTGTGTGGAGATCCCACAGGATGAGGTTCTCCTGACAGGAACGGTGTGTGGAGATCCCACAGGATGAGGTTCTCCTGACGGGAATGGTGTGTGGAGATCCCACAGGATTAGGTTCTCCTGACGGGAATGGTGTGTGGAGCTCCCACAGGCTGAGGTTCTCCTGACGGGAATGGTGTGTGGAGCTCCCACAGGATGAGGTTCTCCTGACGGGAATGGTGTGTGGAGCTCCCACAGGATGAGGTTCTCCTGACGGGAATGGTGTGTGTGGAGCTCCCACAGGATGAGGTTCTCCTGACGGGAATGGTGTGTGGAGCTCCCACAGGATGAGGTTCTCCTGACGGGAATGGTGTGTGGAGCTCCCACAGGATGAGGTTCTCCTGACAGGAATGGTGTGTGGAGCTCCCACAGGATGAGGTTCTCCTGACGGGAATGGTGTGTGGAGCTCCCACAGGATGAGGTTCTCCTGACAGGAAAGGTGTGTGGAGGCCCCACGCAGGAGCACGGATAAATCATGAGGAGCAAGGAGCAGCAGAGAGGACCTGTTGTGTCATCATGGTCCATCTTCCAATTCCCCCTTCAGGGGAGGTAGAGCCATCAGCAGGGAAGGGGGGAAGTTGGGCCATGGAAAAGAGAGGGTGGATGGGGGGTGAGGTGTTGTGTTAGTTTTATTTCTGTTTCTCATTCTCTAAATCAGTTTAATGGGCAATGAATCACATTAATTTCCCCCCAGTCAAATCTGTTTTGCCTGTATCAGTAATTGGTGAGGGATCTCCATATCTTTATATCAATCCATGAGCTTTTTCATCTTGCTTTTCCCCCTTGTCCCGTCGGGGAGGGGAGTGATGGTGCAGTGAGGTGGGCATCCAGCGGCTGGCCATGGTCAACCCAGCACAGCAGCAGACATTCATTTTTGCTGCCCTCAGTACCATTGGTCCCAAAACCGCTTGGCACAACCCCTGTGTCATGGCTGTAGTGAAAGCCAGGTGATTGTTGCTCTGAAAAAGAGCAGGACAGTAGTTGCTTCTGTTAAAGTTTTCAACCTCACTTGGTTCCTTGATGCCTCTGCCATCCATAGAGGTCTCCTGGGTTATCGCTTGTTGAAGGTGGATGTGGTAGCAAGGTAGAAACAGAGGTTTATTTCCCTGAATGCAAGGCTGAGCCTTGCCTTGTCCGTGAGCTGTCCAGGGCAGTAGCTGCTGCACAGTCTTTGTTGTAGTGGAAATAGTGAGTTTAATGGTTTTGTTTGGGTTTGGTTTGTTTGGTTTTGTTGTTGTTGTTCGTGGGTTTTATAGATACGGCAACTGTTCACAGAGCAGTAAGAGTGAAAGGGACAAGAGCAGGAGTGAGCTTCATGCCTTTGTGCCGGAGTGCTGCAGTGTGACTGCCTGTCTCCTCCCTCAGCTCGGGGTAAAATGGAGGGGTTTTCCTTTGCCAAACCCGCTTCTCTGGGGCTGTGGTCCTCCTTGTTCCCACTCTTGCTTCCTTCTTCCTGCTGAAAGTAGGGTAGGGAATTTAACCATGTTTAGTGCCTGACATGTAGTTCTGCACGTTGTGAAGGTAGACAACAAACCCAGGACCAACTTACGAAGCTGAAGCAGCGAGACAGGAGGGAAGTATATCAGTGAAAGGAAAGCTTTAGGGTCTGTATGAGCTGCAGTTCAAATGTATTCCCACAAAGGGTTTGGGGTGATTTCCATTGCTGTTGGATATGGGCATTTGTACTTTTAATCCTGTTCACTTAAGTTGGAGATCACTTGAGAGGAATGTGTGTTTTGTGTAGTATTGAGCGGTGGCCAAGCAGCTTTCATTTAGCAGTCCAGTTCCAGTGAGGGATTCGTGTGCTGGTGCCACAGCTATAGTGGCTTGGCTATTGATGAGTTTTCTGATACTGTAGGATTTCAGGATTGCACTGGTTCCAGGAAGAGCCTCATCCTGACTTTTCTTTGAGTGCCTGCCTGAAGAGACTGAACTCTCTGGGAGTGCAGCACCAGTTCCTGGCAGATGAGGCTGGTGAAGATGACAGTGACATGCACAGGGACACTGTACTGTGATTTCTTCTTTTCCTCTCTGTCATGTATCTGATGTATTCAGAGCTCTAGTGATCTGCAAAAGGAAGATGTGATGTACGGTATCCTGTATGTACTTTCTGGTAACTTTATTAATGCAGAAAGTTTATTTATGCTTACTAAATCTTCAGTCATTTAAATCAGATTTAAGTTGGTTTAAAGTTTAAGTGGTTCGGGAGCAAAATTTCAGCCTCACTAAAATCAATGGCAAAACCGCCACTGGGATAAGATTTGACCTATGATGCTTTTAACAAATGTGTCTTCTAAAAACTCTTTCTGTTCCTAATTGCATTTATTTTGTTCTTTTTCCCTTAAGTCTTGTGAAGAAAACAATCTGAAGATAATGCATCTGTGACCCCTGATACCAGCTTGTGAGGCAGGGCGATGGAAGTTGTAGAGGGCCACCGGCATACTGGTCCCGTGGTAACTCCAAATGGATATGCCAACAAGGTTTTCCAAGCAAACATGGAGCAAGGGAGTACTGATGCCTTGGAGGTTTGTGGTGCTGAGCACTGCGCCTCCAATGATACCATCCCAAATGAACAGCAGGAGGCACCCAGGTATAAGAAGACAACCAAGGGCAACCGGATCTGGAATTTCTTTAGACGAAGGAAAGGACTCTCTACAAATAAAGAAAGACCCCAGTCTATGATCCTGCTGGGAGTTACCTCTGAGGTCTTAGAGTTGAAGAAACCATCTTTCATGGACAGGGTAAGGCCATCAAAAAAGGGAAGAGGCTCCAGAATGTCTAAGAATGTGGATTTGAGAGCATCTGGAGTCCAGGCTGCTTGTGACCCTGAGGAGGACCATCCTGCCAGTGGGCAGAGAGCTGTCTACAGGGTTAAGAAGCTGAATGACAGTCGGAGGCCTTCCCGCCACTCTTACGCGGGGTACATTGATGATCTGGACTCTTCTTTTGAAGACATAGAGCTGAATATCAGCGCTCCTGAAATTGATGGCAATGAAAGTAAATGTCTCAGGGATATTAATGTCAGGTTACACAGTGAAGATAATGATAGTAACTGCCATAGAATACCAGCTAGAAAGAGTGAGTCTTTGAATTGTGAAAACTTTCAGAGCCCTGCAATTACAGAAGGGGACAATCAAAAGAGTGGTACTGCGCTCCCCCAGGAGGGCAGAAAAGGAGGAAGCTCAGATGTCTGGAGCTATCTGAAAAGAATTTCATTAACTAGCAAAGATAATTCAAAGCTTCCAGATCAAAGGGCTGAAACCAGTTTCCAGAACATAGAAAATATAACTGATCATTCTACATCTTATTGTGACTTTGATACGAGATGTGAGGAGAATCTCAGCCAGAGGAAAAAGTCAAACAGTGCAACCAAAGCCACTCACTTTGGTGGTGTTGTGAGGTTCTTAACCAGCATGGCTGAGGCAGCTCAGAGGCTGCGAGGCTCCTCAAGGGCATTTTCACCTGATGAAAAAAGGCCTCAGCGGAGTTTCCGAGGCTGGAGGCAGGACGTTGCCCCCCACAAAGAGGTTTTGGTTATTGAGAATGAGAGCTCAAGGGCCTTCTGCACAGTGGGAGCGTGTCTGCAGTCCCCAGACTCAGGCACATGGGATAATCTGAGCTTTGAGAGTTTAGCGGGGAAGGAGCCAGCGCAGCATTGCAAAACCACAGAAGTGTTGAAAGACATTGGATCCTCTGCTCTGGGCAGCGAGAATGACAGATTTAATGAAACATCACTTTGTCCCTTTGGGCCAGGGCTTGCAGACAGCTCTTTCAGTGACCTAAATACTAAAGACCCCTCTGAGGATCTGATGGACTTTCCACAGACAACTTTGACTAAAGATGGTCAGGACTCAGGCAGTACTTCAGAGAAGACACAGGTCACGGGCAGGGATCTGCCACATTCTGAAGGTCTTCCTGTGAATAATCTGGATGCTGTGGACCTGGGCTGTTCACCTCCTGACTGTGATGTTTCCTCTGTAACTGGGGCTCTGATCCACGTTCCACAGCCAGCCCTGACTGAACTTGATGCTGAGGATGTGGCTGGTGCTCCAGTGGTTGCTGAAGACATGGATCCATCTGCAGTAGTGGCTGAGGAGCTTTCAAAGCCAGAACTGGATATACAGGACTTGAGAAACCCTAAGCTGCCTTTGCAAGACTTGTCTAGAGGTGAGCTGGGGATTCAAGACACTGGCAGTACTCTGGAGAAGACACAGGCCATGAGGAGGGACCTGCCACAGCCTCAAGGTCTTCCTGTGAATAATCTGGATGCTGCGGACCTGGACTGTTCTCCAGCTGCTGATGGTGACATTTCTTCAGAGACTGAGGCTCTGATCCACATTCCACAGCCAGACCTGACTGAACTTGATGCTGAGGATGTGGCTGGTGCTCCAGTCGTTGCTAAAGACATGGATCTGTCTCCAGCAGTGGCTCGGGAGCTTTCGGAGCCAGAACTGGATATACAGGATTTGAGAAACCCTAAGCTGCCTTTGCAAGACTTGTCTGGAAGTGAGCTGGGGGTTCAGGGCTCAGGCAGTACTCCAGAGGAGTCACAGGCTGTGGGCAAGGAAATTCCATGTTCTCAAGATCTTCCTGTGAATAATCTGGATGCTGTGGACTTGGACTGTTCTTCAGCTGCAGATGGTGACTTCTCTGCAATGACTGAGGCTCCGATCCACCTTCCACAGCCACAGCTGACTACAAAGGTCCAGGACTCAGGCAGTACTCCAGAGAAGATACAGGCTGTGGTCAGGGATCTGCCATGTTCTCAGGCTTTTCCTGTGGATGACCTGGATGCTGTGGGCCTGGGCTGTTCTGCAGTTACTGATGTGAACTTCTCTGTAGTGACTTTCTTGAAGTGCTCCACAGTTCCAGGTCCGGTTCCAGGGCAGAGCAGCTGCCGCCTGCGGAAGCGTGGAGCTGCTTCGTTTGCAGAGCAGAGCTCTGTGGAGCTCATGGAGTTCAATCAGTGCCAGCCCTTCCAAGTGCGCTTCTCCAGGATTGTCTCCTCTGGGCGCCTCAAGAATACAAAGGTATGAGTAACTTTTACTACAGTGTTTCAATAAGACCATACTGTGGTACTGTATGGAGATGATCTGCACTTGAAAGCATTTTTATATATCACTCATTGGGATTTTCAGTGAAGTAGGTGGTCATGTGAATGATGGCAGGAGACACAGCTTTTGGGTCAGTCCAAGAGGAGTCAGATCAGTGGCATATCCCTGAGCTATTAGTGTGAACCTCCAGAGTTGTGCCTCCTACAACCCTTTAGACATTTGTATCAGTGCTTCTAGAAGAGGGCTGTAATAGTTTATGTATTTCAGGTACTACCTTTAACCTTTGCCCTTTCTGCATTTAGTTAATTTGAAGTAGAAACTTGTGAGACAAGTGCTGTTGAAACATCTAGAGGTTTGAAGTGTACTATGGGTAGCTGGCATTCACCAGTCGCACTTTGGACCTTGTGTTCTCTTACCTAAAAAAAGCAGTAGGGGTGGTGGTTGTTGATCTTTATTGGGTGATGCCGGTTATAGCATAACATCTAGAACACATCCAGAAAAGCCCTCCCAAAGCTGATAGACTGCCCCATTAACTCTCATTCCACCACTGTAGCACCTGTACATGTATCTCTGTGAATGGAGCAGAAATCCCTGAGCAGTAGCAGTCTCATAGAATCATCATAGAATCACAGACTGGTTTGGGTTGGAAGGGACCTTAATGGTCACCCAGTCCCCTGCCACGGGCAGGGACACCTTCCACTAGACCAGGTTGCTGCAGCCCTGTCCAGCCCAGCCTTGAGTGCTGCCAGCTGTTCCAGGCTCATGTTGCTCCCTGCCAGTTGTGGAATCGATGAGGTTTGTCCACAAACCATGGTAGGACCCAGTGTGGAGCCCAGTTGGTTTCTGTTGGGTCCCTGCTGATTAGCTGAGGCTAAAATTATGATTTATTTTACTTTTCATTTGTTTTTAAGGTGCCAGGTAAGGAAATTGGACCAGTTTGTGAAAAAACTTTCTCCTTTCCTTTTGGGCTTGAAGAGCCCAGAGATGTTACAGAGGTGATGACATTGCTCCCTGTTGGAAAAGGGGTCACTGTAGCTTCGGAGCCAAGAGGGGAAGTGATTGAAAATTGGCAGCAGATTAGAAATGCTGGGAAAAAAAAATCTGAACTTGTGACTCCAGCTAAAACAGGCAGAGCCATTGTTAGTTATTCCTGGATTTGTTTTTCTGCTTCGTTTTGTGTAATGCAAAAGGATAAAGACAGCTTGCAGTGTAATTCCAGGCACTTATGGAGTGGGGTGGATAGTGGTTAGTCACTTCTTGTGGTCTCCTGAAGAAATGTTTAGGAGGAGCTTGAATGAGAGGGCTGTGGTTTGATATCCCTTCACAGGGAGCAAGCTGAAAGCATTCTGGGCAGGAGCAAGATAAGAGAGGCACAAAAGGATTAATGAGAGCAGAGGAAAACATTGGCACTCTTTTCCCAGAGCAGCCACATCTCTGGTAGCTGAGGGCAATGGTTGCATGCCTGATGGCAGAGCTCTTGGGGCAAAATGTGAGCCATTTCCCAGGTCAGCTGTGTGACAGGAGATGGGGTAAGTTCCAGCTCAGCTGTCGCAGCTTACAAACATGACCAAGAAACTTAAATATGGTGCTTGAGATAACTGGACAGGAAACCTCCCCCGAGTTCCCGTTGAGTGTGGCGGGAGCAGGACAGCCTCCAGACTGCTGTGGCTTCCTCTCCAGGCAGGAGCAATGGGATGGAAGAGAAAGTGTACAGCTTGTAAACACCTCCTGCATCCCAGAAACTCAGAGTAGGGACGGAGAAATAGGCAGTGATCTGGTGGCAGCATCAAACCCAGAGCAGCCAAGAGAAATGCTAAAGGAGGGATGCTCTCGGATAGGAGCAGACCTGGACAGTCAGCAGCTCCAGTAACAAATGTCCTGGAATACCCAAGGGATTTGCCTGCCTATCTCTCATCAGGGAGTGGCACTTGGAAATGTTTTACCAAAAATAAACATGGAAGAGGAATAACTTCAGCCTGAGCGTGACAGTAGCAGTAAACTCCAGCCTCTTATTGTTTTAGGGCTAAATCCAGCTCTTTGCTGGCACTTGTTCCCTAGGACAGTTGCTGGCCCTGCTGCTTTAAGGGACTTGCATACTGATTTTAGCAGATCAGCAGATCTGTTTAGCTGTATTCTTCTGCAATTGATGTGGGGTTCTTTCTTTCCTAATCTTACCTTCTTAAATGTTAATGTCTTTGGGCAGGAGCTAACTGATGTTATAGAGTAAAAGCTCAATAGGATTTGATCTTAATGCTGTAAAGGAAATAATATTGCGGCAGCATTTAAGAACAGCTGTAAGAAGGTAGAAAATCACTTGTCAAACTGCCCCCCTGCCAAGTTGCTTTTAGACCCCATCCCAAATTTTCCTTTGTTTTGGGAACTTGTGAAAGAGTGCAGAAAATGTTCTGAAGAACTGACAGAAAGTAAAGGTCAAAATAGATTGTCAATAGGAAATGAATTACTGATTTCACCATTCAGTGCTGCAGCTCTGGAGTGTGAGTGCCTTCATTATTTTGAGATAGATGTGGGGAATGTACTGAGAGGTGACAGGGAGGTTTTGCTACATCCTAGACTGTTGTAAGCCATGAAAGTTTCCAGAACAAATGCCCCCACTGAAGTCAATTATCCTTGTCCCACCTCTAAAACCACCACAGCATCCCAAAAGGGAGAATGCTGCTGCAGAGAGTCAGGCATGCCCCCAAGATGTTGTATTTGACCACTTCCAGTAGCTTGTGGTGATGCTTGGGTGGAAGGAAGTTTTGATACCACACAGCCTACTTCGTGGTTCTGGCTTTTCCATCGGGGTTTCAAACCTCACCGTGTGTCCTTGGATAGGGTTTGTGGGGATTTGATACCTCCTTTGGGAACGACACGAGGAAAGGCTGCAAAATATGCATCTGAGTTCATATTTCAGGCATCAGTTTCGAGCTTGCAGGACCCAGAACCTGGTGCAGGGCTCCTGCTGGCAGAGATCCTCCTTGTGCAGGGGCACGCACTGGGGCTGAGCACTGCAGAGCGCTTGGGTTGTGTCAGTCTTGCCGTGAAGGAGCAGAGGGTTTTCACTGCAGTCTTTCTGTGCCCTCTGCTGGCTTATTTGTGAAATAAGAGTTTATTTTATAAATAATAGAAGTTATTTTATAACTCTACCCCAGCTGAAACCAGGACAGTTTTTCCATAGGATTTTGAATTTTATCTCTGGAAGATTTACAGGCTGCAGCTTGCTTCTGGCTATTGTGGCTCCACACAGACACCAGTTGGTTTTGTGCCGTCATTTCCTGGAGGAATTACCATTGCCAGAAGTGTGAAAATGAGATTTCTCCAGGCCTGTCAACCTGTGAAAGGGGTCTGTCCCATAGGATGAGGTGCCAGGCCCAGCAGGATGTTCAGTGTTCCCAGCCAGTGTGGTTGCAGAGAGGCTGTCTGATCAATGTCACTTCTCCGCACCACTGCAGATGGTTGCAGATGTCTTTCCTGAGCAGACATCCAGTTTGTTTCTCTGAGTCCCACACCAGAGCCAACCTGTGTGGGTGCCATAAAGGCTGTAACTCCTTGTTGTGGAGTGTGGTGATGCTGTGAGCAGCTCATGCTGCGTGTGCAGGTCCGGTGCTTCCACCCCATTACTGGGATTTAGGATTCTGTACAATAGCTGCACGCTGTGCTGCTCTGTGTGGGAAAATGAGACTCTCCCCGTGTGGTGGGTCCAACTGGAAGCACAGGATTACTCATTTGCCTGAGTGTGCACATGCCAGAGGATGCGTTTGCAGATTTGGCATCTGATAGCTGGGGCAGAGATCAGATCCTCCCACAGGTTGGGAGTTTTACTGCTGCAGCTGCAAGTGCCTTTGCGCAGGAGGAAGATACAGCAACATTCTTTTCTGTGTTTGATCAGAAGTTGCACGTGATGTGCAACAAGTTCCCACAGTGACCTTTAACTTGAGATTGGTTTATTGTCTCTCTGCTACAGAACATTTCAGGTGCAGCTGCAGAAATGGGGCTGCCGAGTCGATTTGTGTTTTCCCTTCCTGCACTGTTTAATAACGCTAACCAGGAAATGGGTATTGCTGAGAGTTGATCTTCAGAGCTCTCTTCATCTCCTGGTTATTAGCAGTAAATTGGGTTGGGTCTCAGCATGCTGCTGGTAGTTGTGCTTCCAAAAGTCTTCATAGTTCTTCCAAATAAAGAAATTGTACTTTACTTTTAAATCCTACTGCTGCCACTATACTCCTGTTTGTAGCGAGGTATGATTTAGTCACAGAAAGAAGATTCTGTGTATTTATGGCCTTTAATATGGTTATGTTTGACAATCATCTTATTTTTGGAGGAGACAAAGCTTCTACAGCCTGTCTCCAAGCTGTTCAGGTTTTTATATTTGTAATAACCATGAGGTGCTAGCAAAATCTTGAATTAAAGCCTATATTTAGTGCTATCCTTAGTGGGGTAGGGTTTTTTTTGGGAAACACGTTTTTAGCATTGTCAGAGAAAAGCAGGTTGAGTTTGCAAAGCTGATAGGCTTTACGTGTATATGTATATATAACCAGCCACAGAACACATGGATAATTCACATTTCCACGTGTTTTCCTCAAATACTTGTTGGGTCTTGCCTTTGTCTAGTTACCAGCCTTGAAGTTACAACAGGTCACCTCCTGCCATCCTTGGTGCCATCAGTGTAATAGTATGCTGCTGGCCTGTGTGCTAAAGCGACAGTGTGTCCAGAACTTCTCTGGGTGGAAGGTTTTGTTTGGCTTTTACCTGGTCAAAAGAAGCCTCACTGGGCACAGAGCTGGTGCTGGGAGCAGGGAATGGGAGATGAAGCTTTATTTTGTCTAGACTTCCCTTGTGCTGTTTGGGGTAACTACAGCCTGTCTGCTTTGTCTTCTACCTGTACATAAAGGTAATGGCACATCAGCTGGGGCTGCTGAAGTCTGAGGACAGATCCACTGACCCATAGGAGGCACTCAGCTATTACCAGGGCCATGGATGTATGACAACTCTAACTGAGGCTAGAAGCCTCCCAGTGAGGAGCACCTCCTCTTTTGTGCTCCTGACCTTTGTAAACTGATTTTTCTGCTGATTTCTTGACTCTAAGGTTACATACAAGACTTCCACAGTGACACATGTCACAGAGAATACGCTGAAAAGTAGGATTTTGGGTTGCAATTATTTTTTGTGAAGAAAATCCTATTTTGCAAAATATTGCTGTACAAGTTGTGTCTTTCAGCATCTGCCCCTCCTGAAATAGAATGATAAAAGTTGGGATCACCCAAAAGTGAGGGGAACTCCATAGTTGTTCTCCAGTTAGCTATAAATGCTAATTCCTGCTTTGGATTAATGTTACCAAACAGCAGCTGGGTGCATCTCCCCAGTCGCACCAGGGGGTGATGTAGGGTGGGTAGGAAATACCTCGAGAGAAAAGCAGTTGTGTTTGTACAGAGGGTTGATATTACAGATACTGGGTTGCAGGGGGGTCAGTGCATGTGTATTAGACCTTTGTTAGCAGGTAAGTGATGTAAGTCTTGTCTTTTGAAGGACATCTGTGGGTCTGGTATCTTCTTTTGCAGTTATGTGTTCCAGCAAAGTGATTCCACTCTATCTGCAGGTGAAGAGGCCTTTCTCTGTACCCTCCCAGTGACTCCAGTAGCACAGCAATAAGCAATGCTGTTACATTTATTCACCTCCTGCCATCTGTAGGCTTCTTTTTATGGATTTGTTAAAAAGCCTTGTATGACCTCTGGTAATACCGGGAGGGGAGTGTTTTGTTAAGGGTTTTGGGAATGAGAAAAATGACATCCTGTTACTAATTTAATTCACTTGTACATGGATCTTATTACCAGGAAGGCTGTTTTGCAGGAATTGTTCTGGATGGGTATCCCAGCTTTATTCTAAGAACTTGTAACTTTTATTTTTATAATAGTAGCATCAGATGCTATTATTACAGTGCTGCATGAGCACACACATAAACAGGCTGTTCTGAACCTCACCACTGCAAACTTACTACTCTGTGACTATGTCTTTCAAGTGCTGGTGATCTTTCTGAAGAGACCTCTTCCATTTTCCATTGCTTACTCACAAGTATCTTGAGCATGGCTCTGCGTGGAAACCAGTGGTGACTGATAGCTGTAACCTAGTGAAAGATTCAAAGCGTGGGTTTCCAGTTCAGAGTGCCCATTGAAGCAGACTTCTGGTGTCCAACCTCACTGTGCTGTGTTAAAGGTATGAGCCTCATGCAGTGGGAGTCAGGGCACCCCATCACCAGAGCTTTCCTACAGAAACAAGTAGTGGGTGCAGGTTGCAGTGAGGAGGTCTAAGGCATGTTGCACTGTAAATTGTATGTACTGTGATTGCTTTGTCTGAGGTTTGACACATATTGGTAATTCTCTGACCCTTTTCTTGCCAGCCCATATCTCATCCTTCTCAACCATCCCCACAAACACGACCCTTCAAAGTCCTCGTGGAGAGATGCCGCTCCGAGCCCCTGTCCCAGAGCACGCCGACGGGGCTGGACCAGCCAGGAGAACGCATGCAGCACTTGCTCAAAAGACGTGGTGAGTACCTTTGTGGTGCTTTGCTCCCAGGTTCGTGTGTTGGGCTCACTCAGAGCAAGCTGAAGGCAGTAAGGGTTGGGAAGTCAGAAATGCAGCTTGCATCTGTGCTCATTACAATCCGGGAGCCAGGTGAGGGAGCTCTGATAGCCACATGCTGAGGAGTTTCTTACTAACTAACAAGATGTATCTGTATTCAGAGTTCGATGACATAAAGCTATTTTCTCTCTATGTCTCTTAACACAATTCCTATAATTTGGTTACAAGAAGACAAACGGGGACATCAGGTGTAAAAGCTGTGCTGCAACTTGTGTGAGTTTTCATTTGGTAGTTTCTTCCTGGCTTTCTGCCCCTTTCCCAGCCTCTGTTGTGAGTACATGCCATTTGGAGGGGGCAAGAGATGATGGATACAGAGATCTCAACTAAAATCTGATGCTTGTTTGGAGACACGGCAAGAAGTGAGGGGTTTTTCTCCTCTGCTTGAGTACTCTTCCTGTTTAAGAAGGGATCTAATGAGCCAAAGACTATAATGAGCTATCCTCTGCACTTGTCCTGCTTAAACCAACACTAGAGAAAGCACTGCTGAAGGTATTTGCTGGAAGGGTCTTGTGTTGGCAGGTGAATATGCTGATGGTTGAATAGATGACATCATTTTTTGAACATCTAACTGAAGAGATTGATAATTAGAGTAAGGAAATTACTTCCTGAAAGGATACTGTGAACACCGCAAATTCAAGTGTGAGAGTGCTGCTGGAGTGTGCTGGCATTGCTCCGGAGCATGCTGGTGATCTGCACAGAGAATGGATGGTGGCAGCACATCAGGGATAAGAAGAGGGAGGAGAAGGCAAAGTGGCTGCCTCTTCAGTTGATGGCTCCTGTGTCAGGGTGCAGGTGTTTCTAGCACACAGGTAGTAATGCAGGCACCTCTTGGTGTGAGCATCACTGTGTTTGTTCCTGAGTGTTACTACGTGGGCACATTGCCTCTGGAGTCTGGGAGCAGCCTCTTGCTATAATCGGCTCTCAAGCTGCAGTTTGATTTTCTGCGAGTGCAGAAAGTGAAATGCTGTTGCTAAAAATACCATCAGGCTGCCTGCATCAGCATCACACTGAGGAAACGGGCCTCGGTGCAATCTCTCTCCCAGCAATGCTGGAAGAAAACCAGGATTGCTGCCCACCCAGCCATGGCAGGGCTGCAGCAGGGTCCTGGCCCTGCTCCATGCTGTGCTGCTGTCCTGGGCAGAACAGGTACTCACCTCTTTGATTTGGAGGTAGGGAGTGTGTAGTGTGTGTGTGTGTGTGCTGCCCCTGGAAGGTAAAGGTGACCTGAACCTCAGGAGCACAGGTGTGGATCTCCCTTTTCCCAAAGTCTGGCACCATTTACCTTTCGTTACCTGGTTTCAAACCCCTCAGGTCTGACCCAGTCTGAAACCTCTGCCTGCATTAGAGGTGCAGCAGGGAAAAGAAAATGAGCATTATCCATCTTCCAGGGAAGAATTCTAGAATTTGGCTGTTTTCTGTAGATGTCTTTCCCCATGAAGGGGTTGACAAGCTTCCAGGGGATGGGAACACCCGCACACCCGTGTGTGTGTGCATACAGAAGCACATCTAAGTGTGCTGCCTGGACCACGGCTACCTGCTGAGGGCTCAGCTCTGTTTCCTTCCTCCCAGCGGCTGTCATTCCAAGCTAGGGAACATGAGGAGTCTGATGGAGAAGGGATTAAAATCTACCCTTGCCAAATGTGGTAGGGAAAAATCCTGGTCTCTCACAGAATGGCATCTTCACCCCAAAAGGGAGGGAGAGAATGTGGTGCTGAAAATTTGGGTTGGTTAGAAAAGTAGAACTCATTTTTGAAAAGTGAGTTGCCAGCCCCTCTCCACTACTTGCCTCTCCTGCACGAGCTGGTTTGTACCTGGGTATGTTCCATCTGTGAGGACAGGCTGAGGTTTGGTGTCAGTGGTACAGCTTGCTTAAGGCTAGATCAGATTTGCATCTGTGAGGGACTGGCCTGAAATGCTGGGGTGAGAAGTAACCCAGTTTCTTTGAAAAACAGCTCTTATGGACTTTTCCATTTTTATTTCCTTCATAAATTCCAGGAGCTGTGTCTTTCTCAAGGCATTGTATCACATAGAACACAGTGTAGAGCTGGGGTTTCTGCAGGTCCAAACTGCAGAAGTGCTGTGAACAGTCATGTCCCAAGCAGCTATTGCGCTTTCAGTAGTGGTGCATGTAGAGGCTCTTGTGCCGCCTGGTGCTCATGGGAGGGCACCCTGACCTCCCACCCAGCTCGTGTGACCACTTCTGAACGTGGCTCTCAGTTTGTGCTGTGGTTTTGTAGTATCCAAGCTGCACTTTTCTTCTTGGATCCCAAGAGGACTGAATAAAGCACCTAAATACACTCCCTGCTCTCATTTTCTAAAGAAGAAGTTGAATGAGTCTCTTGCAAACAATTTTGTTTCTTTCATTGAAAAGAGCAGCCTCCGCCCCCAGCCTGAGCTGAAGCACAGCATTTCTCTTTTGTCATTCCCTTTTTTTCCCCCTTTCCTGTGGATTTTATCCTGGCAGCTGAGAACGAACAGGCTTCCAAGACCCTGAAGGTGCGCGGGAACTGCAGGAACGGAGGCCGTCGATGGAACCTCTTCAGGCCTGGAGCTGAGAAGCTAGAGATCAGTAGGGTAAGGTGGTGGTTGGCATATGCCTCTGCCTGCTTCGGGGGGAGCATTGACCTGCTGCATGTTTAGCCTTGGCAACTAACAGTGTGCTTTACTAACAGCTTCCTGGATCTGTGGTCCCTTCAGCCACAGATAGGGATTTCTTTGTTATTGGAGCTATTTTGTAGCAATACAGGAAGAGGTGTGTTACCCTTTTCCTGTTGGATTAGTTTCTTTTCAATGTATATTGGAGGTTCTATGGTCTAACAGAGGCATTGGGCCTCCCATTTCTTCATCTCAGCGTTCCTTGCAGGTGGAAAGAATTGTGACATTTCAGGTCACCTATAGATTTGCTTTGTGGTTTTGATGATTTTCCCTTTTTAACCACGTGTCCTTTGGATTTGGTGCCAAATTCATGGCCCTGATTCTTTCCTGAAGTGTTTTGCAAAGGTAGGCCCAATCTACTGTGCTTCTTTTTTTGTGAATGATGCTTCTAGCAGGGGAAGTAAAAGCTGTTATGGGCCTGGGCATGCCCATGTCTGTCTGGGGAAAATCAGAAAAGAAGGCAAAAATGGTACCATTTGTCTGATAGGTTTCCATGCTTGGATGTGGGAATTGCTTTCCATCTGTGCTATGCCATGTGTTTGAGGGCTGGAGACCTTGGTTATTCCATGGTCTTGTTTTGTATTTGTATCATTTGAGATACAAAACCATATCATCTGGTTTTACTGGTACCCGACAGTAAGCCTCTGGGTTGTCCAAAATCCATGGATTTGTGAGCTGGCAACTAGCATGACTCAGGGAGAGTTTTCTAGTGCATAGGGCAGAAGAGCTTTAGGCCTTGTTGTTCCTCCAGGGCAGGCAAACAAAGGATGATCTGGGAGCCAGGAATTTCCCTCATGGAATCAAGAGGGGGGAAGTGACCTTCTGCAGTTGCATCTCTGTGGCTCTTTCCCACCCCTTCCTTACTGGTTATTGTCCTTCCTCACCAATCCTGCATTGCATTCATTTTGCTGATACCTGATGAGCTGCTTTCCTAAGTGTGATTTCCAGGGAGGACCTGTCCTCTGTGTCTGCCTTTCCATCATAGAGCAGTAAGATGCCAGTAAATGAGACGGACTTCTCCAGCCTGCTTGTGTCGAGTGTTGGCTTGCAGGGAACACATGCAGGGATGGACCACTGCTATTCCAATTGCTTTTGACTCTCTGGAATGTCATCTTGCATCACTCCTGTTTTCTTTCTTGACCTTTTGTGGGCTGAGATGCAAGCCAGAGGTTAGCTAGACAAGGAGTTCAGCCTTTCCTTTTCTCTCCCTTTCCAAGGTCCTATCTTGCTTTCCAGATATAAACTGTTTCTACTCAGGAAGGCTGTTCTGGTTATAGAGGAGCCATATGTTCTTCAGCCTTCAGCTGTCCTTCAGATTCTGCTTGGAAACCAAGGTGCTCTTCTATTTTGACACAGTATTGCTTCTGAATGCATGCGAAACAAGAAGGTCTGTGTCCTGGTCGTGTCAGTCAAACCAGACCTGTTTCTGACTGCAAATGCAGCCTGACATTAAAGCAGCCTTACAAAGGCCACGGAAAATGGAAACATCAGCAAACCAAAAATATAGCTGAAGTCTGGGAAGAGTTAGTGAAGGAACTTTGCTTCTTGAGTGGTGATGTATAGGAAGAATGTGGAAACGCAAAGGGAAATGAGCTTCTCCTGAGTGCAGACACTTGTGTGCGGCATTCGGCTCTGACACGGGCATGTGAAAGACCCATCACTAGCACAGGGAGTTAGGTTTGGTGCTAATGAAGGTTCCTTCAGAGGCTTGTTCAGTGCTGCCAATTGCTCAGCCTGAGTTATGGTGAACAGGCAGGTGTGAAACCTGTGCTGGGGTTTATAAATCGGAGATGCTGTGGTAAGTGCTGCAAGGAGCCTAGGATATATAGTCGTATGTGTAAATGTGCCTTACAATAGCAGTGCTGGAAAATTCATGTTGCCTCTGCCCCAATCTGAGTGAAGATCTACTGGTCTGTAAATCACCTCTGCCAGAAAGAAACTTCTTCTTTGGCAAGATTTATACATTTGAGGTAAGATTTGTGGGTTTGGGTACCTCTTGTTGGGTTCATCCATTGGCAGCTGACGGCTGCTCAGGTGGCAGAGCTGGCACAGGGAGGAGTGATTTAGAATTCCAGGCTTTTGCAGCAACTGTGCCTGATTCCCATCTTGAATTGAAATGAGAGAGGTGGAGAGAGCAAGAGGAGACTGACAAAGCATGGGGCTTGTCTTAGCAGCATTGGTGCCATCATGGCCCTTGGAGAGATGTGAGTGGTTGTGCAAAAAGAGTACTGGTGTCACTACATGTCACACAGAATGTGGAGCTGTTGAGGAGCAGCTTCTAGGATGTTCTATGGTCTGGGTGGCAGAAGCAGAGGGTGACAATCCCACCCTGGACTGGCTTCATCCTCACCCAAATCCCTGGCCTCTGCTGCTGTTTATGAAGGGTCTTGTTGCTTCCAGTTAGAGCAATGAAGTACCCTGTTTTACAGTTAGCTGTCCAGTCTGAGTTGTCTCTTTCCATAGACAAATGCTGTGGGGTTGTACTCCAGAAGGACATTCAGCCCATCCTAAAATCCGCACCATCCTCTCCATGTGTGGAGGCGTGTGTGTTAGTCCTCTTTATCTTACCTGTGACCAGAGATGTGATTTTTAGCCTTTAACTTAGCAAAGGTGACTGCATACATGCCTGTTTTCTGCTCCTTTCTCCCCTTCCTGTCCTTTGTGCTCTTGTTCAAGGAACTGAAGCCCAAATCTATATGCTGGAGGAAGCCACTGTCTAATTAGTTAGAATGGAAGCTTTGCATGTAAACCAGCTTCTCTGACATTCCCTCAGCTAAGAATAGGCAGGCCTGCTGTGCAGAGGTGTTGAATATTCACCAAACACCACCAACCCAGCCTGTCCTCTCTAGTCATCAGCTATTTCCAGAGGCTGGTGGGGGGCTGCCATTGCAGAGAGGGAGGATGTGCGAGTCACAGCTCCCCAAAGCTGATTCCCCACTGCCCTGTTTAGGAGGAATAGGAAATTCAAACAACATGTGGCCTCCAAGAGAACAGAGTGAAGGGAAAGTTGATTTGGGTTCTCTCTTGCTCACACAGTGCTGCAATGAATAGGGAATGCTACTTACTATTCAGTACCAGCTCTGCTGCTTTCTATTTTTATCTGGTGGCATAATGCTGAGTGAGCATTCTGTTTAGTGGGGATGTTTTTTTCCCTCTGTTTGAAATGTGTCCTGCACCATGATGCTTCTCTTGCCTTGCTCCTTGGGGGAGGAAGGGGGTGTGGTGGGCACTGTGGACTGCTGCATTCTGCTACGTGAGCTGTATGTAATTGCAGTCATCTTTCGGTCCTTGCGTCCATGTGAAGAGGCTGATGGAAAAGCACCCGTGGCTTTCCTGCTGCTCATTAGGTTAAATATCACTGTGCTGGTTACGAGAGCTCTATATGCACATATGGAGGCCTGCCAGGGAAATGCAGCCCCTTGGAATCTCTCTTCCCTTGTTTTAAACATTCACTACTTTTTCTGGCAGAGTGTGTCTGATCTGCACAGTTTTATGTAGCTTTTATATTGCTTTCCTCCATGAAGCCACGGTGAGGTGTTTATAAATGTTTGTTCCAAGTTCTTAAAACCCCTGTCTGTGCAGTATTGTTAAAACTATCTAAGGGTTGGCTTACTCATTCAAGGGGGAAACAGCAATCCAGCCAGGCTGAAAGATCCTGATGCCCCTGTCTCAAAGCCTCATAACTCTGATGCTGTTGTATGGTCCCACCTCTCTGTGTGAAGAGTGCTCAGGCAGGACCTCTGTGTTCTTGGGGCTTGCAGCAGTGGGCAGCCTTTCAGACACCTGAGGTCTGATGTGTCTAATCCAATTTAACTTATGAACTGATCAGAGCACAGAGAACATTGAATGAATGTGTTTAAGTCTCCAGTGAACTCTAGGTCATTCCTAAATCCATTTGCATCCATTTTGCATGACTGGACTGTGCTTTGAACTTGCCTCTCCAGTGACTGTGATGAATATTAGTACAAAACACACTTTAGGATTGCTAGTACCAGAAGTGAGCAGTACTTAGGCACTTACCATGCTCTGCTTATTTTGTCTTTCTTAGAGATAACGTTTGACTGTCGTGGTTTTGCACAGAGTAGTGGTGAGGGGACAGAAGCTTTGAACAAGCAGTGCTTATAGCATGGTCACTCCACCTACGGGAGGGAGAAGCTTGAAATGATGAAATGGTGAACTTTGCATGGTGGGTTTATGTTCTGGGTAGCACGAGAGGGATTTGAAGTTCCAGACTTAGAAGAGGCTTTCAGCTGTTTAGAGGTTACATATAAATGTAAATGAAGAAGAATCTCGGTTTCCAGTTTGTGATGGTCTTTATAGTGCAGTTGGACCTTGGGGTGTCTCCTGTGCAACTGCAGGTTGCTGCATCCCACGTAGTGTTAAATGTGTGTGTAATGGTGACTGTGTGTAATCACCTCTTTATAGTTCAAATTAAGCTCTCTATTCTCATCTTAAATATCAGCTTGGAACAGATCCTTTTCCCTGCTGCTCACTAGTTCCACCTTGATTGCTCTGCTTCAACTCATTACTCAGCTCTGTCTCTGTGTTTCAGTCTGGGATATGGTTTATACAAAAGAAGCTTTAGTGTAAACTCAATTTGTGTTGCATTGCTAAAACCTTAATGCCGTTTTGCTTGGCAGCAGTATATACTGTGTGGTTTGCCCTTGCCCAGTGCACTATGTTCTCAATAAACTAAAGTCTGTGGTAGGTGTAGCATGAACAATCTCTGAGTAAATATTGGAACAAATGCTTTTGTAGAGCTTCCGAAGCTCTGGCTGCATTTGTGGTTCAGGGGCACTGCAGTGTCACCAGGGTTTAGCTGAACAGGAGCTAAATTTGGGAGGGAAAGATGAAAGCACAGGTTGTAGGTTCAAAATCTCTTCTGTAGCTGCTGAGGTGGGATTCTGAGATGGGATTCT